GAAGGGAGGGAGGGAGGGAGGGAGGGAGGGAGGAAGGAAGGAAGGAAGGAAGGAAAAGGAAGGAAGGAAAAGGAAGGAAGGAAGGAAGGAAAAGGAAGGAAGGGAGGAAGGAAGGGAGGGAGGGAGGGAGGGAGGGAGAAAATATGAAAATATTGCATGGGTATAACTTTTGTAACTCCTTTCAACTTCATGCTAACTCAGAGCCATAAAATATCCTGAGCTGGAATTGACCAACATGGATCATCAAGTCCAAGTCTTATCTTGGGGGGACAAAACTGTCACTGTCATCCCAGTGGTTGACCTTTCAGAGCCACATAAGCAAACAGAAATTGGTCAGTGGCACAGCCACAGGTTCAGCTGCCTGTCTGTGACTAGGGAAGAAGCCTTTGGTGCTGCCTACTCTGCTTTCTTTTTTTACTCTAGGCTTTCATAAAACTTTTGGTATAATAGTAAAGTAGTTCTTCAAAGAAACATAGACCTAGTCAAAGCAACTCACGGAGGAAAATGCATGGCACTAATAAGTTAAGAGAGTTAGGCATAGGTGAAAACCATCGTTGTGAAAAAAGGCACTGTATAGTTCACAGTAAACTTTTAATTTTTTGCAAGAGATGGTAGCAGCTCAAAACATGCCTGAGAGGGGCTCTTCTGAAATGCCTTTGATACCCAGTAAGAAGGCAGTGCACTGAAATCAGCAGCTGAGGATTCTCCGTACAGTATCATTTTCTTGGGAAAAAAAAAAAAAAAAAGTCTTAGAACTACAGTAAGTTCCCCAAGATTCTGAATTTTCACTGCCAGGCTCTACTTAACATGTACCCCTGACATTAGGTCCTGCAAACACTATTATACTCTTTTGCAGACTCAGACAAATTATTCTTGAGCTACTGCATGTCTCCTTTGAATTGCAAGGGAAATGGCCCAAGAAGCAGCTTCCCTACTTCAGACATCCACATCCAAGCTGAAGAGACAAGGAGGCAGACAATGAAAACCAAGAAGAAAAGGTTGTGGCACTCGGGATGTGGGATCGGAGAAAGGCTGATGCTTCATCCTGGAAGTCTCACTGTAAGTAGCCTACAGTAAAAACAACAGTGCAAAGGTAATCAATAGTTCTCATTTCCTCCAGGTTAAACATAACTGGTTAGATAAAATCACTGTCTGCTGACAAGCTTGGATGAACTGATTTGATTCTTAGTGACCTCTGACAAGGTTCAGCTTTGTTTTACTGTAATATCAGAAACCAGGGACAAACATTAATCATTAACAAACCTTGCATTAAGAAACCTCATCATACTTTCATAGCATCTCTGTAAGTATTTCTGCTTACTACTTTTACTTCCATGTTCATGCTTAGATGAATCACTATACATGCCACAACATATTTAGCTTCTATATAGCAATATAGATGTGTGAGTACCCCCCAGTTGGATAACTTCTATACTTGTAATAATCACAGAATTTCAGGTAAAGAAAAGTATACTCCATTCTAGGAGAGAAGCTATAATTATTGCTGGTATCAGGATTGTAAAAAAAAAAAAAAAAAACCAGCAAAAGTCTGCAAAAGCACTTACTGACAGAAATTTGTTTCCACACCAAGTTGATGACTTTTAAATCAAGAAATTTAGAGTTAGCCTGTCTATTTTAAAATACTTGTAACTTCATTAAGTGTGTCACTGTGTTTTAAAATCATAATAATTGAACTAAGCAGCAAGTAATCAACAAATTTTGTATTTGAAAACTTCGATTGGTCTTAGGAATTTCTTAAGGAACTTGGAAATTTGGCTACCTTGGCAGGTTTCCTTTCCCCCCTTCACCACTTTTTCAGTTTTCCCCTCTCCCTTCCTGTCTTCTCTTTCTTCCTTTTTCCTTTTTCTCCCCTTTATTTATTTATTTGTGTACGTGTTTGTTTATTTTCTTAAACCAATAAGCTTTCACATTCCTGTCAAGCTAATTTATTTTCATTTTATGTTCCCTGAGTGTCAGATCGATCACTTTTATTTAAATCCAAATGAAAAATCTACCAGAAAACAGATTTGCAGTGTCTCATTGCCTGGTATTAGTATCATGTAGAAGTACTTGCTGGTCTTTGCATTTATTGAATATGTAAAGCTCCAGACTGCAAAAAATCAATCAGCATTCCAATCAGTCAAGTTATTCTTTTCAGAAATATTAGTAACTGGTGAAGCAAAATAAGGCATTGCTTTCAACTACATCAAATTTCTTTTCTTGCTTTTTGTACGTGGCTTTTAAACACTGCATTAGATGATGTGATTAAAATAAGGACCAAAGTCATGTAAATTTTAAACAAATGTGTCTGTATCTAAACTCATGGCTTTAGAATTAGACTGCACTGGCCTAGTATAGATCTTGATACACTGCATAGCTGAGGGGATCCCTGGGGAATTAGTGAAGCCTCATCTAATTTCAGCTGAAGTACAGTTGAAAACGTATGAGTAGGGAAGTTGCTTAAACTTGTGGTGGTTTCTGTAGTTCTAATACACAAACAAGGAATATAGAGCAAATGTGGGCAAAACAAAAGGACATTTTGTTTGTCCTTTATACTTTTGTAATGCAAATTTCTGCTTTTGTTTTTTCTTCAAGATCTATTTGCAAAGAATGCATATCTTTGAAGAAATTTAATGTAATCTGTCGGCATTCTCTTGGTAACACATCTAAAGAGAATTGATGTAGAAATTTGATTTTTATTAAGAACGTTTACATTTTACATATTGAATTTGCCTCCAACTAATCTTAGACTGTATGATTTTAAATATATGTTTATAGTTTCTGTCTTTATTTAACATTTTCTTATTTGGAAAGGAAAAAATGGTGTGGTACTCCTTTGTTTTATCAAAAAAATTTGTTAAATTCTGTAGTTTCAGAGAGACTGTATCTGGGCAGAAAGTTAACATGGAAGCTACCAGTCAATTACTTTTGTAGTTCTGATAGGCTAAGTAATTAATCTCATTTATGTATGTCAGGTTTCAGTAAACTGAAAACAGATAGGACTAAACAAGGCTAAATGTAAGAGTTTGGACTCTTTCAAATCCGTGTAAGGATTTTTATTAGTCTATCTTGACACCTGCTAATAACAGTGCACACCATTCTCACCGGTCAGATTAGAACTGTTTGTTCCCTCTCACCATATGCTGTCTGTTACTCTCTTCCAGATTTTTATAAACCATACAATTCATTTTTCCTAATGGATGACCAATTTGACCTCTAGCCATAACAAAGCCCTTTTCTTCTGGAGAACTGAATCCACTACTTAAGCCCTACTGTTGTGAGTTGAAGCAGAATAGCTAGATTTTCAGGGACCTAGCAACGAAGTTGCTTGAATGAGGGTGCCTGATGAAATCAGTAAGTTGCCTTTCCAGAGGACTGTGAGTGTGGATGAACGCAGATGAACCCACATGAAAGCTTACTGATGTTCTTCCATAGTAGAAATCACAAGTACTGGTCAACACAAAAACATAAAAAGCAATAAAAATTGTTCAGCAAGCTTTTTCATCAGTGAGAAATAGAGTCATTAAACATTTATTTTATTTTATTTTACAAAACAAGCAGTGCTTTCATTCTTTGCTAATTACAGTTTGATATCTGCTTTTTCTTTATTCACTCAGGTTTTTGTTTAATTATATGGATATTCTCTTGAAAATACAGTAGAATGAAAACACAAGAAAAAAAATGAAGAATGTATCTGCTGCAGCTATATATACATATATAGCTATACTTCTTTTTTTTTTTTTCCTCAAAGTAAGTACTGACTCCATATTGAACATAATGTAAACTTGAAGCACAGAAGTAATGAAGTCTTTATTATTAACAAAATAGCATTGGTTTTAAAGGCAAAACATAGCTAAGCTAAGGAAAGACTATACAAACATTGTAGCACAAAATTTGTCATGGGCTTTTCACAGAATCACGGAATTGCCAGGGTTGGAAGGGACCCCAAGGATCATGAATCTCCAACCCCCGTGCTGCATGCAGGGCCACCAACCTTCCCATTTAATTCTAGACCAGGCTGCCCAGGGCCCCATCCAATCTGGCCGTGAACACTTCCAGGGACAGGGCATCCACAACCTCTCTGGGCAGCCTGTTCCAGCACCTCATCACTCTCTGTAAAGAACTTCCCCTCAAGAAAAATAGTTATGAAAGGCATTTTATAATAGTAAGTTTACACCTCCAAAACAGATGGAGGGAGCCTTCTGTGTCTCCAGATACACTAAATATAATAAATATCATCTCTAGAAAATGTAATAGGAAGTTAATGTTTAATGAATGACAAAGAATATAGCATCATTCTGATTATTCTCAGAATTACCCAAAACTGGGAAACCATTCTGGCAACTGCAAATCTTTATGTATTAGCATAGCTTAAAGAGAATAAGGCAACAATTAATGGATGGAGATAATTTTCTGCATTAGCAACATCAAAGCAAAGAGCAATATCTACAGTTTAAGAAGTCATATAGAAACATCAGTTAAATTTTTTAATTAAGTAATATCTAATGAATATTCAAAACAAAACAGTGACAAAAATATTCTTCAGAGCATAAATGTCACACTTGTAAAAAGGCCAGTTATAAGTGAGATTAGTGTTTTACTTCAGAAAATGTTTTATCATTGTATGTCTGCTAACATAAATTAATATAAGCCAAGCTAAGCTAATGTTTTCCTGTTATACATTTGTTACAAAATATGATCTTTACCATTTTACTTAGCCTGCAATGTAGAAAAAATCAGTCAAACATCATAGACTTCTTTATTCACATAAAGACTAAATGCATTAGAGTCATGCATCATCCCTAAATGAGGATTTTCAGGAGCTTGGCTTCCTTATGGGATTGTGGAGAGTGGTTTTTAGATACATTTTTGAACTTTTACCTGCAGAAAAACCTGAGTATTATGGAACCTTAATAATGTTTTAATACATTAGTTTTAAACTATATGCTGTAGGAGAAAAGCCGTACACATCCTCAGCTGTCTTCTTATTGCTTCTTCAGTAACAGCCTAGTAGCCAGTTTGGCCAAGGAGTACATCTGTGACTGAATATTTTGCTATGCTTTGGAACGTGTGTGAGTTTATGGATATGTCTTATTTCATGGTCCACATTAGTAGAAAATCTGTCAACTTCTACAGATGTAGGCCCTTATTAGAAGAGATAATTCATTGTAACTTCAAATACAAACATCAGTAAGGATATGTCAGATGCTTCTATTGCTGTGTGCACAAACTAATTAAATCATGACATGTATTAAAAATTCTATTTTTCTTGGAGCAATGTCATCAATATGGAACAAAATATATGTATTTAATGTTTATTGTTGTTTACTGCCTATGAAAACAAATATTCACTATTGGAGAAATATAGTCTGATATGTTTTTTGATGATATTCTGGTTCTTATTTTTTCCTTTGATCTCTTTTCAAGTCAGTTGAAATCCACGTCAGGAAAGGAATCTTACAAATTAATGTCACCTTTGAGAAGTACATTTTTCTCTTGGTTATGCCATTTGACTATCAAACAATATTTAGGCAAGTTTACGGTTGTGAAAAACTGCTGTCTGTAAGGCTGTGTACAAAGCAACAAAAATCAATCAATCAATCAATCAATTAATTAATTTAAGAGTAGAAGTTGGGCAGCCCAATCCTTAAGAGTCCATGAAGTTTTAAAAGGAGAAGATAAACAAAATTGGGCAAAATGTAAAAATCAACTGATATCATCTACCTGGGCTTGTGTAAAACTTTTGACACTGTCTTACATGATATCCTTGCCTCTAAATCGGAGAGCCATGGATTTGACATATAGAACATGTCATAGATAAGGAATTGGTGGGATGGTTCCACTCAAAGAACTTTGGTCAGCAGCTCAGTGTTGAAGTGGCATTCCTTGAGGACTGGCAACATGTATATATAACATCTTTGTTAGTGACATGGATGGTGGGACTGAGTATATCCTCAGCAGGTTTTCCAGCAACATCAGGCTACATGATGCAGTCAGCATGCTGGAAGGAAGGAACAGCATCCGGACAGACCTTGACAGGACAAGAGGTATGCTGGTGTGAACTTTATGAGATTCAACAATGCCATGTTCAAGGCTCTCCATCTGTGTGGGGGTAATCCTAAATATGAATGCAGGCTGGATGGAGAATGGATTGAGAGCAATTCAGAGGAGATGGACTTTAAGGTGTTGTTTGATGAGAAACTCAGCATGAGCCATCAATCTTGCTTGCAGCCCAGAAACCTAAATGTATCCTGGTCTACATCAAAAGAGGGGTTTCCAGCAGGTTGTGGAAGATAATTGACTACTTCTTCTTTTCTCTTATGAGGCCCCACCTGAAGTACTGCATTCAGGTCAGGAATCTCTAGCACAAAAACATGGACCTGCTCAGTTTGGTCCAGAGAAGGCCAGGAGAATGATTAGAGTCTTTCTTATGAAGAGAAACTGAGGTAGCAGTGTTCATTCAGCCTGGAGAAGCTCCGGGGAGACCTCTTTGCTGCATATCTACTGCAGTGTCTAAAAGGGGCTTTTGGGAAAGCTGGGGAGGGACTTCTTGGCAGGGAGAGCAGTGATAGAACAAGGGGCAATGGTTTTAAACTAAGAGGGTAGTTTAGGTTAAATATTAGGAAGAAATTATTTACAGTGAGCATGGTGACAGCAGATTTTAACAAACTCAAAGAGGCAGCAAGCAGACACAACAGTTTGTGCAAAAGTGTCAGATTTCTGCTAAAAAATTCTGAGGATCTCACTGGAAGTTGTGAAATCTTGCTGGGGAATCCTGAGGAATTAGAGGATGATTACTGCAAACTGGAAAGGAGACCTAGGCAAGGACAACTACAGAAGAACTTAGCTTCTCCTTGGAGGAGATCTAGCTAGATATAGCTGCTGCTAACAGTCCTTGATTAAGGTGGGTCAAGCACCTAGTGAGTCAGTCTTAGGCAGAGGCGTATATAAGAGCCAGGCCCAGAGTATAGTGAACAGGCAGTGATCACAGCAATCAGGTGCAGTAGTTGGCACAGTGGGGACATGCAGCAGGGTGTGTGAAGGTACAGGAAGGAATCGTACTTGCTCTATTAATTTCCAGCAGCATACACTTCATCAGATGCACCATAGAACGCTTTCCCCTGTAGCTTCTGGAGTTGCTGCATTGAGTAGCTTGTACTCAAAGAGACACACTTTTGATTCAGGTGTATGTGTCTCAGGCTGTATGGAGTGCCTGGGGCTTCTCTGTGAAGCCCGGCCTGTCAGTCAGCTGTACTGTGGAAAGTATGCTATTCTAGATAAACTATGGCATTGGATCAGGGAGTTGCAGGAGTAAATAACTCAACCACGTACTGTTAGAGAAGATGAGTGGGAAACATTGTTCTCTATTCACCTTCAGGAGATCCAATTCCTCACACCAGTGAAGTTACTGCAAAGTTTGTGCCATGTGAAATATTGACAAATTCCGAAACGTGGTCACTTCATGAAAGAGAAGAAAGGCTTCTCCTCCTCCTGTAGACCTGCAGTTGAGAAATGGGTTTAGTGCTGTCCAGTCTGAGAAGGAAGTCAGCATGGCCTCAGGAGAGGCAGCTGTGCAGTTTGACCTAGTGCCTTGTGGGAACACCTGAAAGAAGTGAAGATTAGTTGTGGTAGGTGACTTGCTGTTGCAGGAAAGAGGTGGACCTATCTGCAGAACTACTTGTCGGGAGAGATTTATTGCCTGCCAGGTGCTTGAACATGTGACATCTTCAGAACTTTCCCAAGGCTTGTCCACACATCAAACTGTTACCCTCTGCTCTTCTTCTCTTCTTCTGCATCAACGATACCAAGGGCATATTGGGAAAAAAATGGGAAAAAATTGGACTAGATGATCCCAAATCTTCCAATTTTAACTATTCTGTGATTCTGGTCTCGTTCAACCCAAGCCATACTCTGATTCTACCTTAAGAATATAGATTTTTATTGTTACATTTCTTCGGACTAAACTGATTCTTTTTGCCATCCTGGATGTGCCTCAAAAATTAAAACAGCTCCCTTTTATGCTGCTTATCTCATAGATGCCCTGAAAATTAATTTCAGCTGAACAAACCTGGCACTGTTTGCTAGTGAAGAGGATGAACTCTGTCACCGCCAGTTCCAGCACAGTCTACAAACAGGAATACTTTACACAATGACTGGTTGCTGCTCTAGGCTGTTTGATGTTGAAAGAAGTATAGCAGTCACTATATCTGGTTGAAATTTCAACAGAAAATTTTGCTTTAAATGTATATGTGCATTTTCACATGCAACATATTGCACTTAAGACAACAATAATATAGGAAAAAAAATATTAACGAGATGAAAATACTGCTACACATTGGAAAACACAAATAATATGCATTGTCTTGTAGAATAATTGCCTACTACCACTCCTTCACCAGCATACTTTTGTGTTTAGAGTGATTATAAAGAAATCTGTAAGATGCTTAAGTGTTAATCAATGGGAGAGAGAGAGAGAGAGAATGAATGAATTAACAAATGAACAAACCTGGAGTTTATTGAGTGTTGTAACATGTTCTAACTTGATTATATGACAATGTACATGGCCTACATCTTACAGAGACACAATACTAGGTTGCATTATTCCACTGTTTCATGTCACAATTCAGAAAGAAAAAAAAAAAAAAATTACAGCAAGATTTGTGCTACATAATTTGTGCCATAATTTGTGCCATAATTTCTGTGGGAGATAGGTAAATAAAGAATTTTGCAACATAGCATCCGACATTGGAGTACTTCAGAGTTTTAATTTGAAAGCAAAAAAAATAAATAAATAAAAGCTAGGAAAATGTAGAGAATGAAAATAAGTTCTGTTGGCAGCAGGACAAATGAGACTTAATTTTGTCTGCTTTTTTTCTTTCATACCATGTAATAAAGAACAAGCACTGTTTTCCACAGTGGTGGCATTTATTGGTCTATCTTTCCTGTGGGGAACAGGAGATAAGCTCTATGGAACTTCAGAGGAACCTTAATTAGATGCCTGTCTTGTACCCGATTGTCCAGTTTTATTAATTTTGTAGGATTGTATTTTTTTTTAATCTTTGTTTCTTTGCTGTACTTGATCAATGTTTGCCAGTATTTCTGAACTTTATACAAGTGTGAGGACAAGTAACCTTGTAATTACAGAATTCTATTTTTCCTTGAAGAGCTGACTAGAAAGGGAAAAGTAGTGACATTTTTGAGAAAATATCACTCTGCTATGTTAGGATTTAATAAGTGTAGTGTCCTCCACCCCCACAGCACAACAGATTGAAAATAATAACTAATAAAAATCTTCACTATCAAACACTTCAACGGTCCTCAACTCCAGTAGTCCTCAGTTCATTATCAAATAGCATTAAACAGAAATCACTAAGTAGTTATGATAACATCCTGACACTGTATCTCAGCTTTTCTGCTGGTGGTGTTGCATTTCTCTATGCAGTGATTAATTAGCTCCTTAGCTTTTTTCATCTCTTTCTTTCTGCTGTGAGCAAAAATGTGTGAATGATGGGGAGGAAATTATCTCTCAATCTCCTCTCTGCTGGAGGCAACAGGGAGAGGATTGAATTCTATAGCTTTTTCTTCACAGCATGCTAACTGCATCACAAGTAATCACATGCTTGTCAACATGACCATGTCTGCTCCATGACCACATTGCCAATGACAGCAAGACTCTACTGGCACTCACCATGGTGATGACAAGTGATACAGGTGATGACAAGTGATACAGGTGTCTGATCTGCATACAAAAGTTCACACGATCATTTTATTCTTGCATTTGCAAGTCTTGTATTTAATTTGCATGTTTATGCCTGTCTTTAAGAAGGAAACATATCAAGTTGATAAGAATCATTTCATTGAAGTTACTCTGGTTGAGATTATGAATTTTTTGCCTCCATAACTATTAGGATAGTAACTATTAGGAAAACAATATCTCTGTTTTTCAGAAGTGATGTAGCTTTTAAGAAATTTGTGTATATTTTGTGTTTCAAAACTTTTTATATTTTTATGCTAGAAGCAGATAGCATAGATTGCAAATCTTGCTTAAAGAACAGAGAAAATGGGGGTGTGGAAGCTTGTCATTTACAGTGGTTTAATGACTGAATAGAAGCATATGAGCATGCCTACATAGATAATGTACGAGGTTTCTAAACCAAACAAAGAGTGCCTCTACAACAAGTGGAATTGCCTGGGATGTTTGAGTGTGGGCTCTAAACTTTTCCATGAAGAAAAGTCTGGTTTTTTGTTATGTTACATGGTGCATTAGTCAAAATACACTCATATGAAACAGCTAGCAATGTTGTTGATGAATGTGCTTGGTATACTGACAAATGAGACTTCAGGTGTTTATGCCTGCTGTGGTTTCAGGAAATCTAGAAAACTATTGCTGCCCTTACCATGAAATGTTATTTCAATGTATGTCAGTTGGCTAAGAAACAGTGTAACTATGTGCCAATAACGCGCAGAATAGTGAGAGAACTTCAACAGCTGTGTAGGATGAGCTTACATGAGAACACATTAGAAGGGATTTGTGGCTTGTGGTGGAATTGCAGATAACCATTAAATAAATATTTACACTTTTGCATTTAAGTTTTATGGCAATAACACAACATCTGAGTTATGGAGTCCCATGCAGTATTTCGCTGCTTCTGTACAACAGAATAATAAAACCATTTGATGCCCTGCGTTGAAAAGGACCACAATGATCATCTTGTTCCAACCCCCTGCTATGTGCAGGGTCTCCAACCAGCAGAGCAGGCTGCCCAGAGCCACATCCAGCCTGGCCTTGAATGCCTCCAGGGATGGGGCATCCACAGCCTCCTTGGGCAACCTGTTCCAGTGCCTCACCACCCTCTGAGTGAAAAACTTCCTCCTGATATCTAACCTAAACCTCCCCTGTCTCAGTTTAAAACCATTCCCCCTTGTCCTATCACACTCCAGCCTTGTAAACAGTTGTTCCCCTTTCGTTTATATGCTCTCTTCAAACCATGTGTATTATGGACTATGACTATTCTGCTGTATTTGCTTTGCAGTTTATATGTCTTACAGACTATGGACACATTTCTCTTTGCCACTGATTAAATTCACTGATGCCAAGAAAATGAATACATTATTTGCGGTAATTGGATGGAAGTGTGTGATATGTAAATTAATAGCTATATAAATCATTAATATATTTTTCTATTCTTATAGTGTTTTATTAAGGGTAAATGATGCAGCAGACTATTCTCTTATCAATCTGAGTATTTTATAGCATACAGTGTAGAGGTAATCTTGGAATTTCACTTTTTAGTTTAAAATCAAGGCTTTTATTAGGATTTAAGGTGGATTTAATCTGTTACTTCAGCTGCATGAGCACTAAATTAGAAGGGTGAACACTTGAAGGTTCTTTTGTATTTAGAAAATTGAAAGATATTAATTTCTGTTGTAAGAACCTATAAGTAATCTGTCACTATCTTATGTTGAATAATGTAGCTGTAATCTTCCATGGTTTTTGTTTATATTTTTTTTCTCTTTTGTTTGCTTTGATAGGTTTTGCTGAATGTGTTGGTTTTGTTTTTTTTTTTAATCCAGGAAGCAGGAAAGTGGTGAATCTGAAAGTAGTAACGTGCTACCAGTTTTGAAGTCCTAACAGCCTAGTAAGAAAAGCCTCTCTTTTTAATGTCATCAGAGAAGTTTATAGGGATTTCTGCTTTAAAAAAATACGTCTGTTAGTTAAGAAAGTATGGCCTTATTCTAGAATTGCTTTCACATTTAAGCTGAGGCAGCAAAGCCTGACTACGTACTATGTTTCTTGACAGAACAATTTTATTTCCCTGCTTTTTAAGACACATCCTCCCTTTGCATTTTGCACTTAATTTCTGTGAGTGCTAATTATAACCAGTATGTTAACTGATATTTAAGGGCTAGCCTCTCCGCCTCTACTTAATTTCAAAAGGGTGGTCCTTTGCTGTGTGAACTAATTATACTTTCCTGGATAAAGTTCACACAGCAAAGGACAACTGGCCTCCTGTGTTACATTTTAAGTCTGCCTAAGTCTGCACAGATGTTAACAGAGTCAATCTCTTTGTTTATCCAGTTCCTGAATTCTCATCACCTGTTCTGTGCTGCAGCTCTAGAAACCACAACGGTATACAGACCATGCAATCAAGCAATGAAGGAAGCTTATACCTATGAAATAAATATTAATTTGTTTTCAGGCAGATGTGTTCTGAGTCTGACTGTCATTTTTTTAGTAATGCTTGTGTTGACATGAGAAAGAGAACAAAGATATTGGTTTAAGCTGAATATCAAACTACACTTTAAAATGTAAGGCACTTTAACTGGCAAACAAGCAAGGGCTAAAGGGTAAGATGATGACAAATAGAAAGCTATTGATGATTCTGTCCTTCTGATACATCCTGCCACAGCAGAGCTGAGGTATTCACTAGACAGCTTCTGCCTTCTGGGACAACTTTTCCAGGAAACAATGTGAATTCTGAATTCAAGCTGTCATAATTGTTGAACAGAGCAATATATTTCTGGACTATTAGTATTTCTTTGAAAGGAATAGAATACACTGAAAAGCTTCCAAAATTAATTCAGGGAAGCTGAGTATCACATTAGACAACAGAACAGTTCTGAGCCACACAGCATTTATGCATTTATGCAGTTTTAAAAGCAACTAAGTAATTATCCGAAAAGTATAGAACTTAGTGAAATTGAGAGAAACTACATAAACTATTCTAAAGAACTTCAGCCCGGAATGCAATTAAATATTCAAAACACATTTAAAAAAAAAAAAAAATTCTGATAGAAGAAATAGAAACTGGTTATTTCTCTTTCCACCTTGCAGCTGAAAGACCAGTTCCTAAGCTCGTCCCTAGGTCAGGTTTGTGAAAATGTTCTCAAACTATTCAGAAGAGACAAATAAGAAGAGATACATGTGGCAGATCTCAGGAAAACATTACTTTTGTCACTGTTTTTGGAGTAATGTATCAATAAAAATAAAAGTTTAAAATTGGATTACTACCTACCAGCAGGGATTAGGTTAACCAACAAGAGAAACGGGTATATTGAGTAATAACCCTCAATTCTGTGAAAGAAACAAACTCTACAGCTTTTTTTACTTAATTAATAAATCAACAAGTTACAACTGAACAACAAGTATAGATCAAAATGCTTCTTTAGGTAACATATAAAAGTCTGTACAGAGCCTCTTGCTGCCTTTGGCTTTATCTAGTACCCAAATGAATAAACAGCCACCAAAACATTAGTATTTCCTCAGAGGAAAAAAGAAAAAAAAAGAATGTAAGAGTAAACCTTTGATCCAGATTTGGCTGCAGATTGAATACAGCTGTGACCACAGCAGTTTTCAATTTTTTTTATTACTCCCAATTTCTATCTGTGTGCATGCATGCCTTATATAAATGATAGTAGTTGCCCTCATCTCCTTTCTTTGATTTTTTTTTCTAACGTAAATGAGCCTGAGGGCTTTAATGTGATTCAAAATCTAGATGAATAAAGCAGAGTGAACTTATTCAACACTTGCAGTAAACATATAATATTTGATTGAAACACTATTTTGAATTCAATAAAAATTTCAGAAATAGTTGCATTTTCAGGCTTGCAAAACAGAACTATTTTTCTGACAGGGAAAGAACTTGTCATTTATCTAGAAATAAGTACATATATATTTATAAGAGTTAGGCCAGATGCAGTCAGCAAAACAATGCATAATTACTTGGCAGTTAGAAAGCTATGCATTAAAATACTGTTTAGAATAGCTTTTATGTTTATAATAGCAAGGGTAGTGCAAGAGAAATATTTTAGGGAACATCCCCAGTTTGAAAAATGAAGTTTGGCTAAATAAGACTATCTTTTTAAGTTAATACTTCATGAATGTTCTGTGGGTTTTCTGCATTTCAGTTAGTGTGGACCTGGTTTTGCTCGGTAGGATTAAATGTCGCAGTTACATTGCATTTCTCAGGAGATATTCCTGCTGAGTTATGTTTTTTTAGATATTCTGACAAGACGAATTGGAATCCTGCTACCTCCCTATCAGTAATAATGGACAATTATCTGATCTGGGCAGGGAGATCTCCTTAAAAAGATGTTTGTGAGAGAATGTTAAAGATGTAAATGCAAATGATGTTGAGAGCAAGAGTTAAATGACTGGGAACGTCTCTAAATACAGTAAAAAGGAAATTTGAGTACCTATAATGGAGAAGTGTCTGCTTCATGAATATAGACAGCTTATTTTCTTCAAAATCCTTTTTTCACCTTCTTCTCAAAATGATAGCTGTATGTGTTGTCTTGTTTGAACTTGGATATTTATTTTCATTTTAACATGGTCCTTGGTAAGAGTTGAAAATAAGATATATTTTGAGGAGATGTTTGCTGAGTAGTTATCTTCTCTTATACTGTCAAACTTGGGTTGAAAAGACAGATCCTGAGTGCTCAAGGAGACCTTGCATCTTTTAGAACAACAAACTTAAATGTCAAGAGTGCACTATTGATCAAAATATCAGCAGGCTGACAACACAGCAGCCACTTGACAATAGAGAAAAAAATTACTCCTGTCCATGGTTATGTAAAGTCCTTCATCAGATTTTCAGTCTTCCTAGAAGTATACTTATCATCCAGCTCTGGCAGACAATAAGAAGTGCTATGAATAAACTTACTGTCAGTTGCAATTATGCTCTTCTTGGACTATTAAAAAGCAGACAGCAGTCTGGCAGAAGCCAGTCTCCAACATCTTGATAACCTGACCAAACTGTCTAAGTACTAAAGGCTGGCCATCAATGCTAAGATATGTTTCTACATGAGTTCCACTGCTGATATATTTCTCAGCATGCCACTATGAATCAAGATCAGAAGTGCAGCAGCTCCTTTCCTAGGGCTTCACTTGGCCTCCTGGCTGACCAGTTGTGACTGCTACACGTCTCCACCTTCAGCTTCTTTCATGTCTTTCTCATAAGCCACCTCAGAACCTGTTTTACTGTATTAAATTTCTGTGATTGCTGGCAGCTTGCTTGGGTGCTGAGCACACTCCTGCCTTGCCTTTGGCTTGGCTTTTCCTACTTGAACAGTGTCTTTTGTGATGATAGCCATTACTAAATAATATAAAATAATAAAATAAAAATAAAATGTTTTTATTCACCCTGAGACACACTCAGATGTATGTTTTCTGAAACAGTAATTTCCTTTTTAACTGTACAATATTGTGCTCAAACCATTCTCTTAAAGCTTACTTTGGACACAGAGCATAATGTTGGCATATCTCAGATTGCTTGAAGTCAGCAAGCATATTGATTATCATGCCATTAGCCTCGGAGCTAGAGTATCCCCTGTGCCTCACAAATGCTATGAAATGCAATCACACAGCAATAGAGTGATGGATATTTTTCACAATAATGACTGTCCTAGGCATAAGCCATCTTCAGCCATCCTTCTCTCTTCCAGAGACACATGTCACTCCTTGCAGTGAGTCACCTGATAGTTACATTTTAGTCTGAAAATCCGGACCGTTCCCAATGCTACCATTCAATCAGTCTTTCAGTATATGAGAGACAGTTCCATTGATCAATATGGCATACATGTTACTAGCAGCAACATACGTTAAAGAAGATAAATAACTCTAAAAAGAATGGAAATAGAGGGATTTCTTGGAATTTTGCCCAAGTACTCTGACAGATTTGTCAATGCTAGGCTATATATTACAACAATTTTAAAACTCAGAGAAGAAGATCCACAGGTTACTGTATTCTATGTCCTCCTAGGAGACACAAACATATTCTTGCCCAAAGCCATGTATCTTTTGCTATGTTCCTTTTCTGCCAGGGCCTGATTAATCTGAGAGAGATAACCAGTTCTGATTACGGTCTACTAGAAGAATGATGCTGGCTTCATCATATCTGCTGGTAAAACCTCCTAGACAGCAAATAAGTTTTTCTTAGTCTGAAATGAATTATTCAAGCAGCATGGGAAAAAGAATCTGAGAAAAAGAATATAATAATATAGCATTCCTTGCACTTTTCACCAACATTGAAGTTGGTTGATGTGAGGAAAAAGGTGTGATTTTTAGGCTCTTGACAAACACCCTACATATTTTTCATTTATTGTGCAGTGTTCCTTCTGGGATCACTTATTTGATGAACCTAAACAGATCTTAAGTTTGACTTTACAAAAATGCTGCTGTTAAAACCTGATTCACACTTTACTCAATGTCTAAGCAGCTTTCTAAGGAGGTATGTATTAGCACCCAGGTAATTCTAAGAGGCTGAATTTGAATCAGCAAGACTTGTCTGCGAAAAGTGATACAGGATGAAAGTCAATACTAGTATTTAAGGTTTGGGGAGACTGTACAGAAAAAGTTAGAAGAGAACTGTTTCATATTTGTATTCATTGACTAAGCATAATCCTCTATGCCTATATTTTCACTGCAACAGAATAAATCATGATTGATACTTTTGTACTTTTGAATTCTGAAAACTACACTGTGCTTCAAAAGATCAGCAGAAATGGCAGTCTTGCAATTCAGACTTTTGGATGTTATCCAGATACAGTAACTTTATAAGATGATAAATAATATCCTAGCATATTGCATTGACCTGTGTTATGTCTGTATGTTTTCTAGCTTTTGCTTAATGAATTGCATTTATCTTGTCCATCTGTTTTCCTTTTTGTCCTGTTAAAAGTACCATTTAGCAAAGGGGTAGATAATAAAAGAAAGGCCCACTCAGTACTTTCCAAGTAAGATAGGTTTCCACTGATGAAATAGTGAAATCTCCATCAGATTTTGTGAGTCTTAACCAAAAAATACAGTTGTTTGGGTTGCTGATCTACTGAACATGAAAAACTTCTACAGGCATATTGCCCACTAAATAATGAAATGAAAATGAGAAGACCTTTGTTTATGATTTTCTTTAAAATGTATTCTTGCTTGCAATGCTTGTAATATTGTCCTCGTTAAAATTGTTTAAAAATAATTTATTATGCTTAACATAAAAAATGAACACCCATCACAAGAATCTAAGCAGATAACCAAAAATTCTCTATTGTTTTTATGAATTATATTTCTATCAGTTTCCCTAATATAACTTATGCTGCCTTCCAGTACTTACAGGGAGCTTATAAACAGGAGGAACAGCAATTCTTTATACAAGCAGATGGTAATAGGGCAAGGGGAAATTAGTCTGGAGAAGAGGAGGC